TTTTTCTTTTCTTTTTCTTTTTCTTACGGAATCGTGACTATGTATCACAAATCGATGTCTCTATTTTCCGTAAGTACGAGTTTTGATTTTGATTTTTTTTCAAGGTTTAATGGTTTTACTCTTCGTTTAGGAATCCTAGCTAGTTTGCTATAAAAGGTTACATCACGATTATTTCTTTTTCTTTTTTTTGAAGGTTTTTTTGAATATCAGAAAACCACTCTTAACTTTGGATGATTACTGAAAAACCCCCTTAACTTCCAAAATATTAGAAAATCCCCCTTGAATATAGGGATTACCTCAAAACCTCCCTTTAACTTTTAGAATTTATCAGAAAATCTCCTTTACCTTTTAGATTTTATCAAAAAATCGCCTTTAACTTTTAGATTTTATCAAAAAATTGCCTTTAACTTTTAGATTATATTAGAAAAACCTCCTAAATTTAGAGGGGTTTCTGATAAAATCTCAAAGTTAAGGGGTTTTGTGATAACCCTTAAACTTAAGGGGGGGTTTGCTAATATTTTGAAAGTAAAGGCGGGTTTTTTGATAATCATCCAAAGTTAAGGGGGGTTTTATGATCTTTTAACCTTCAAAAGTTGTAGGCATTCTCCCAGCCGTTTTATCCTCCACTCTAATTATTGTTAAAGTTTTAACACTTTTAAGATTACCTTTTTATCCCCATTGTAATTATTTGTAGAAGATCAGCATAACTGTAACTAAATCTTACAACTTAAACACCCCGCCCATTATAATATTCAAGGAAAACAAACAATCAAAAATGGTAGGATAAAAAACCTAGGACTAGTGGTAGCTAATAACTGTTTTTGAGGGAGCATAAAGCATAAATGTGTAAAAAAACTCTTGCGGTTCTCGTTTGCTCTCTAGCTCTCTATGCAACTGTCAACAGTGATGTAAATATGCAACTTTAAAGTTGCATATTTAATAAGAGTTAATTGCAAATAAAGTCCTTGTAGTATCGCCTAATTGCAAAAAGACCCCTATAGTTCTAATTATGCAGATTTGTCTCTTGTCGTATTTACCCAAGTAAGGATAAAACCCCTCAATTTTTTTTTTTCTTTTACACATGTAAGTGTTAAGAAAATTAGTAATGGGGCTGTCCATCTGCACCACTAGAACTACAAGTCTATTTGCATCTATAAAACTCTATGACTCTTGTAAAATTTTCAAAATTATACAAGGGCTTATCCACAACTGGGCCATATGGCATGGCATCTACCCATAGTTAACCCATTTAATAAAGTCTTGGTTGAATGGAAGATGGACACTTATCTATTCTTTGGTGTTCAAGTTAGTGAACTTAGCACTAATCTTGTCATTTGTAATGGTAAGTGTTAAAATGCATTTTTAACAATAAAAGTTATTACGAATATTAACGTTCGAAACCCGAATAGGCTAGGAGATTAATATGTGATGATTGCTTTTGTACCTCATATTGAAAATGATATATTTTTCAACATTTGATGAGGAAGATATCATGAAGTAGTTTCAGAAATGAAAACGAGAAGAATGCTATATTGTAAGTAGTATATTATAAATTGAAATATGATCTTTAAAGTAAGAAATGAAAACGAGAAGAATGCTATATTGTAAGTAGTATATTATAAATTGAAATATGATCTTTAAAGTTTTGTTATGTAGTTATGTTGAGACTATATTGTAAGTAGTATATTATAAATTGAAATATGATCTTTAAAGTTTTGTTATGTAGTTATGTTGAGATGTTAATCAATTGTGTGCTGAAATTTTTATATGCTTAGTATTTAATTATTTCTTGGCCACCCCTTGCCGAATTCCTTACTCTGCCACTGTCCTCGAGTTTCTTAGGTGCGTTCACTTCACACTTTGGCTCAGTTTCCGGAAGCTAGGTTCTCCATGGCAATGATCTAGATTTCCCCAAAGAATGAAGTACAATGGTTACTTGAAATTATAATGGGTTATGATGGATTATCAATATTCCTAAGTTTAGGAGGAGGTCTTTCTAAATTTTGCTTATGTTTCCTATCACGCAGCAAATCATGTATTAAAGTTTCCCAATGAATTCTCTTAGGGGGTGTTTGTTTCACTCTTTTTTATGAAAAAGGAATAGGATTTGGGTCTGACAATGACAAAATTATAAATAAATAATTCTTTATGAATCTTATTCTTCAGTTTGGTTCACCAAAAGTTTATAGATTTTGAAATCTATAAAGTTAAAAAAGTAAGGTGATTTTATGAAAACCCAAATCCTATTGATTTGCTAGGATTTGGGGCAAAAAGCTGACACCCCCCATAATTTTACCTTTCTCTCCATTTTTGGATTCCGCCTTTTCACCAAAACCCTAGATCTGGTCTTTCGCCTTCTCCAGCCTCATCTCCCTCTTCTTCTCCAGCCTTTTCGTGCCTTCTTCGATTTCTTTTTTTCGAAGACAAGGCTTTGGTTGTTGGCTTCGATTGTGGGTTCGGTGGGTTTCCTTGGCTTGTTAAGTTTGACACCTTCGATATTGAGCTTCGTTGGGTTTTCTTGGCTTCGAAGACGAGGCTTTGTTGTTTGTTGTCGGTTCTTTGCGTTGCTTCGGTGGATTTGTCAGCTTCGATCTTGTGCTCCTTTCTTTGATTTCGAGCTGCAACAATAGGGTTTGATCCCAAAATTTATTCTTTGATTTCAAACCCCTTTATTCGATCTTGTTGTGTTGTTGTCGGTGGGTTCGATGAGTTTTTGATTTTGAGCTTCGATTCTCAGTTGGTGCCTCGGTTGGTTGCTTTTGTTTGTTGCTGAAATTTTTAGCCGTGAATTACCCATTGGCATCTGTTGGTTGCTTTCGTTTGTTGCTAAAAATTTTCAGGCCTGAATTACCCCGTGGTAGTTGAAGGTATAAATCTATAACTCATTTTTTTTACAAAAATTAATATATGATCATGGATGATTATTTGTCATGGTTGATATTGTTAGGATGTTTGATAATTTACGCAATTGTTGATAATTTAGAGCTTTGTTACTTTGGCTATGGATGATTATAAATTTATTATTTAACATATGAATTAATAATTTTGTTTTAATTTTCTTTTAATATTGCAATGTATGAATTAGTTATTTCATTAAGAAAATAGATTAGTGCATCTCATTTATTTTGTTTTAATTTTCTTTTAATATTGCAATATATGAATTAGTTATCTCCGTACCTATTTTCTTTGACATATTGGTTCCCTTGGTTGCTTATTTCTCCTCTTTCATCAGCCCATTCAAAAAATTACATTCTTTATTTGGGTATTCGCACACCCCCAGTAACACCTCTCCTTATTTTTACTATTCTTGCACACTTTCATGGGTGTTTGGAGATTGCAATCGCACCTAACTTCAAAAAATTTAGGGCATTCTTTTGATATCATATTGATGGAGGGGATGCAACTTGCAAATTATGAGAATTTAAAAAAGTGGTAAGATTGAGGGATACATTGGCACAATAAACCCTCAATCCAAATTTGTAGCCTCCAAGACCTTGGAACTAGCCGTTGGAACTAGCCGTTGTTACAATGTTTTTTGGTTTTGAATATTGTCAAACGGATAAGAATACCTAAGGTCTAGTCATCATTTATCCCGAAATTTTCTCATTCCAAACCAAACTAAAGAATAAGAATTGGATGGTTTCTATAAAGTAGGATTTTATTTTTCATGTTATGAAACAAACATAGATAGAAAAAAAAGGATTCCATGAATTCATAACCTTGTCTTAAAATTTTTTATGGAATAAGTAGGAATCCATAAAAATGGATTCCTAATCCTATTCTTGCCCACTAGTGAACCAAACACCCCCTTATCATTAGAGTTTCGATAGGAATAAGATCATTGTCATTCGTAATAGCAATTTCAATAATTTGAGATATTAATTACAAAATAACTCAAGAATTGTAATATATATCGAAAGAATCCTTAAGAATAATTGTGAAATTTACAAGGTTAACCTGATTTATGAGTGGAATTTCTGAAGATATCATTTAGAGATTTATCTAATAATGTTCTTGTTAATTTTAGGCAGGTTGACTTATTTGCTATAAGTACAATGAATGTCTTCCTGGTTGTGAAGATGTTGGATTAACATGTTCGCATGTGTTAGAATATAAAACTATAATTCTTAAGTCTTATCATAACTTCAGAGTTTTGATGTAATGATCAGGTATAACTAAATCTAACGGTATGCACTGCAGAGTGAGATCTACCAGTTATACAATTTATTTTGGGGCTATCTATAAAATTGTAAAAGTTTAGGCAAGTTGTTTTTACTTTTTTTTAAATGGCCTTGGTCCTAGGCTTTTAAAGTTAATTTATTATCATTTTCCCTTTTTATTCTTCTGGGCTGGTTTGTGGCCGATTTAAAATTCAGTATATTCTTTTCAGTTTAGCTGGATCAATGCTTGTAACTGTTACCATTTTGCGAATGGGATTTAAAATCGCATATTAGATTCAGTTAAACAATTTAAAATTACTTCCCAAAAAAATACTGTGAAAAGAATTATCTATCTTCCTGAATTTAGGATGTCTTTTCTAATTTGGCTTAAGTTTGCTTGCACGCGGCATACCATCTATTAAAAATTTCCAATAGATTTCTCATATCACCAGAGTTTTGAGGATTAAGATCACTGTCATTAGTCCGTAAGTTTAACATCAATTTTGATAGAATAGCACCAAACTCAAGTTCCTCAATTCTTAAATTATTTTGATATTTAACCCCTCAAATCGAGAGAGTGGAAGTAGCAATTGACGGGATCAGGTTGGAACAACTTATGAGAATGAGAGACCTGATAACAATTTCTATAATTTGAGGGACTAATTTCAAATGACTTAAGAATTGGGAAACTAAATGCCGAAAAAAAAAAACTTTATAGTAGTGGTGAGATTTGCAAGGTTAAGAAACAAGTTTTTGTAGTGTGTATGAGGAGAGAACACGTGACAGAGATTCCACCAAAAGAAAAACTTAAGCAGAGGGTCAAAAAAATATGTTCCATGCATAATGTTCATATGATCATATCCATATCAAAAGCTCTAAAATTCTCAAAGTAACAACCAGAAACTTCACATAAACCACAAATTAACCACAAATTAACGAATAACAGAAGTAGATGGGGATCAATTCCCCACATCATCTAACTGCATGAACTGCCTCTTCCTCTCAAGAGCTTGCTTGAGCTCATTAGGCATCCACATGAGTTCCAGTGCTTCAGGAGCCTTGAAATCCAGAGGATGACTCTTACCATCAAACGATATGATCGGAGCTCCGTCAAATATTGTAGAAGTAGAATCCGTAGGAGTTGGATTCCCGGTGAGGGAATTGCCCCGAGGCTGGGCTGACAGAAGAGAGAAAACACCTGGACCCTCTGATGCAGGTAGCTGGGTCCCACCCTGCCATTTCCTGCTCGTAGTTTGATCGCTAGCCATAATTCCAGCGAGCTGAGGGTAAGCAAAGTTCATGAGGAAGCCTCCCCATCTGCTGTTACCGTCTGTTTTAATAATAATAATAATAATAATAAAGTGAGATTGTGAGCTGACTGTGGATTAAGCTGAATTAGGATGAAAAGTTTCGAACCGTCGGAAGGTGATGAAGGCATTTGAGATGCTAAAGAAGAATGCTGTGGCTTCCTTCGGCGCTCGTTATGGCCAGCTAGCCTTCGGCGACAGCTACGCTTGTCTTGGTCGAATTCAGGAAGTTGGTGGAATCTGCGTGGAGACAAGTTGATAGGAAAGTAAAATTGTTTCAGAAAACAGCAGCGTATCGAGAAAGATGGCGTGGTTGTGCACAACAAAGAAACTATACTGGAGATTCATGTGTGAAGAGATTTTAAGAGAAAAATAATGATGGACAATTAGAAAGTCAGGACCAATACATAATTAAGCCCTATTTTTTTTAATGGCTTTAGGGGGGTTTTACATTGCATGCCTTTTGGAGACACTATGGTAGCCTTTAGTGTAACCTCTCTCAACGAGGTCCAGAGTTGCTCTCTTCTAGAGAGAACTGGCAAAGAAAAATCTTGCCTCTAGTTTTGATTACCTACGTTTACTTTTATCTGTCAAAAAAAAAATAAAGGAAAAGAGAGAAGGGAATGCAACTCAAATGGTAGTAATCCATTGAGTGTATCAGCATTAAATACCAAGGCCTTAAACAACTCATAAATGTTAAACCATATGTCCCAAAAAAAAATCAAAGGCTTGTAACTTCAAATCTACAGAAGCAAATTACTCCAAGAGAGCAAGTCAGCAAATAATATAACAAAACAACATATTACTTTTCTTCCGTAAATCTTCAAATAAATCCAGAATTGCATGCCACACAAAGCTACAAAAATAGTTTGCATAAAAAGAAAAAGAAACCTGTAGTAAGACAAGAAAGAGAATGTACAATTAATGATGGAATTACCGAGAGATGGGGAAAAAACAAATTAAACCTAACTTCATGAGTGCAGCCTCTTCTAATATATCAAAACTCTAAAATTACGGTGAGAGTTAAGGTTCTATAATTTCATACTCCAATATGCCAGGTGTTAGTCAATTGTAACTTTTCAAGTACAATAAAGATAATTATTGAAGTAGGATAAATTTATGAAAGTGGGATATTTTAGTAGGATAATAAAGGATAATTTTTTGAGGCGGGATAAGCTTGGTAAAAATGACAAGGAATAAATTCATAGAATTAAAAGTTATAAATTTATGCATTCTAATGATACAATACATTAATTTATCTATTTCTTATTTGCGAAAAAGTAAAAAAAATGACAGTTCAAGTCTTAGGAATATAGTATGAGGATGTAAGAAGTGCATTATTAAGTAGAGAAAATTAAGAAATCATGGTACTATGCAATCACATTAAAAACCACATAGATTACATAAGTAGTTCTTAGTTCATGTCATATATAACTTGTCTCATCCAAATTCAAATCAAAGATTAGTAGTTAGTCATGGAAAAAAGCATATACTTAACAATTGTAAGCAAGCATAATTTTGTAATATACATGAGAACAAAATTGTTCTAGTTTAGTTTAACTTTGAAAAGAGTAATAAATTTAGAAACTAGAACTGACCTTTTCAATATAGGATGGATGAAAAATGGGATAATGTTTTACAATTATCCCAGTTCTACTTTTGTACCCATTCTAATTGAGTAACACCTGAGAATTTCTAATTAACTAACACCATATAAATTATTTAGTTGTACTTTATAGTTCCACTTGACTAACACCCCCCCCCAAAAAAAAAATTGATCGATAGTATACCAAAGGTGTCGCAAAGCTCGAAAGTTATGGTGAGACTACAGTGTTACAATTTTCTATTTTAGCATGTCTATGCAGATTGGGTGCCCTTTTCATGAACACAATCTACACTTATGTGAAGATATATTTTTCCTTAGATCCACATTAAATTAATGATGGATGGAATGGAATTTGAACCTGTATTGCTCTAATACAAGTTAGAAGATCATTTCCAGTGCACAAAAACTTCAAACTTATGATAAGAGTTAAAACTTATAATTTGGTATTCTAACTCGAAATTCTAATCAAAATCCTAATTATGGGGGTAAACCAGAATCTAATCACAAATTGGAGCAAACAAATTTGCACCTAAGCAAGAATACCAATCAAACAACAAACTCAACAAAGATTCTAACAATTTGCCCAACCCAAATCTAATCAAAATTAATAATAATCACAAATAGAACCATAAAAAATGGAGAAAATTTTTATGATTCTGACCTGCTACACTGTTGACAGAACCTTTGCTCTAAGCCTGCAACAAGCACCATTGGTGACTTTGAGTGCATCCCACAGACTTTGTGCCTGCCATAGTAAGCCTTGGCTCCACTTAAATCCACACTGCAACCCTCCACTTGGCACCTTGGTGGCTGCTTTGTTAAGCTTTTGGATGAGGAAGAGGAGGAAGAAGAGCTTGAACTCCTTAACTTGAGACCATTCAGGGACTCAGTGGTGGAGATTTGCAGTGAGCTTGAACCCATCTCCATTTTTTTTTTTTTTTAGTTTGATAGTGAGATGAAAGAGGAAAAAAGTGGAGAGAAAGAGATACTTATTTCTAACAGGAGTGGGTGACCCATGGCTGCTTTCTTCTCATGCCTATAGGAAGTCCATGAGAGTAAACAATGACACACTAATTTTCTTTCTTTTTTAAACTCTTTTTGTAGAATCCACCCTCTATTTTTTTACTGTGGCTTTGTAGTATCATTCCAATTAAGGCTTGTACTAATTTTTTATATATAAGGCAAAAGTACTTTAGAATGCACCCTCTATTTTTAACTTTAGCTGTGTAGAGTATCAATCCAACTACTTTAGAATTCACCCTCTATAGGTTTATACTAATTTTTTCTACATAATGCAAAAGTGTGATTGAATTGAAATCATACTAATTTTTTATATTCCTTCGGATCTGAAATAAAATTTAAGAATAATAAAATTTAAGAATCTACTACTTCTAACATAAAAAAACATCATAATCACTATTTATACTACATTAACTACTATTATTGCTACAGTATGACTCATAATGTTAAAGATGCAACATATGATACGATCGATGAGTATTTTGCCTATTTATCCACTGTGCAAGCTGAAGTAACATTTTTGAACTTTGAAAAGATTTTTCATATCTTTTTTTATTCTTGCAAATGATGATTTTATTAGATATTTCATAAATATAAATTTTTTCAGCTCTATTGTAGAAAATGATAATACTTGTTAATTTGTGTATTATTTTATTAACTGGCTTGATGATTCACTCTGTAAATAGTAGTAAAAAAATTATCGCTGAAGTTTTTATAAATAGTTATATATAAAAATTATATTATCAAACTGGCGACAAATATAACTAGGTAAATAATACTCATGGTAACGCACAAGCTTAATACTAGTAGATTTATAAATGTGAAATTTTTACTACTTCTTACTAGCATTATACTTATGTAATCATTTGTAGCTTTATGTAGTCATTTCTAATGTGAAAAATAACAATATATACTTTATGCAATCATTTGATGCTAAACATTTTACTTTTGTATTGGTTTCATTATCTCGTATCAACTTTTATTACTTTCTTTATCTTTGATCCTTTCTTTGTAGGACTTACCTTGCAAAAGCTAGAGACTCAGTTAATAAAAATACGCATCAAGAAGGATCCATATGCAAGCAAGGGTCAAATAAAAAAGACAGTTCCTCCTCTTTAGTTCTTTCTTCATTCTAGCTTTTAGCTCTTCCTAGATTTCCATCTAACTTATGTCTCACAAGTCACAAAAGTGTATTCTGCAACATCTTCTACTGGACTTTATGAACTGGTTGGTAGGAGACAGAGTCTGGGTATCTGTAATTAAGGGTTTTTTTTTTTTTTTTAGGTAGGAAGAGGGCAAGTTGCCCTATATGACGGTTTTTTTTATGGATACCTATTAAACCATGCATACTTGCAAAGGTACCCCTCAAATTTTAGTATTTACAAACTATCCTAACATCATCTTTTAAAGAAAAATACCTTCTCAAATCAACAATCATCAACTTTGTTGGATGTAGCTTGTAAAAGTTTGACTACTTATTGTGTTTTTACATTGAAGCAACAGATTAGCCTATCAAAGTTAACAATTTGTTAATTTGTGGGCGTGTTTAACCCCCCACCCCCCAAGTTGATGATTTGAAAGTAATTTGAAAATACTGAGATTTGAAATTAGTAGTAAATACACTCAAAAACCTTATATTTAATTAGGCTGCGATTGCCTCTCAGAGCATCTCCAACAGCTTCCTTATTTTATTGGTATTCTAACTTTTGGAGAATTTTGGGCTTTTTTTTGGTCCAACAGATTCCCCATCTTATTCCCCAAAATAGGGATGAATGAGGAAAAAAGGGGAGTCTTTCCCAAATCTGGGGCATTCTTCAAATATTTGGGAAAAGCTTGGTCATGAATGCAGCACGTTCTTCAAGACGAGATGGAGGAGAAAATAAATATAAAACAAAATCCGTAATTACAAAAAAACCATGGGGGCACTTCCAATGCATAAGAGCATCCAAAAATAAGAATGTAGAATATTTTTATTATTGTAATAAATGCAGGATTCTTTAAAATGGGGAAGTTGTTGGAGTTAGGGTAAAAATAATTTGGAGAATATGACTTTTGCTTCCCTATTTTGAAGAAATTTTTGAGGAAACTGTTGGAGATGCTCTCATAGATTTGATAGGCTTTTGCATCTCCCTTCCTTTGCGTTATTTAAAAATCTTTGGTTTTGAGACATAGGGACATGGGGAACTAGTTTGCTCGGAAATCCGAGCAAACTCCCTTGTAAAATCTATGCAAAATCTGTGGTTTGTTGGAACTTGAAGCTTTGGAGGGTGGGCTTGTTGAAGTGGAGCCAATGGTGATGGTGTTAGTTTGGAAATCTCTTTTTGAACGAGAGGGAATATTAATTTTCTTATTTCCACATAGGGGAAGTCATGCTTTAGTTGGCTTCTTACTTTCTCCCCTTTTATTTTATTAGGTTAGGCAAACAATCTTTTTACTTAATTTGGCCACAATGCGAGAATTATTGGAGGATTCATTAAGAAATTAGAGTAGTTTGTTTCAGTCTAGATGACACTTAAATACCCTATTTTTTTCACCACGTTTACATTTCAATATTCTAAATTATAATAAATAGCATTTTAATATTCTAAGTTATAAAAAATATCATTTTAATATCTTAAATTATAAAAACTAGCACTTAAATATATTATTTTTTTCATCACCTTCTTAAATATTTGAAATTATAAAAAGTAACACTTTAACACTGTAAATTATAAGAAAGTAGTACTTTAATACCTTAAGTTGTAAGAAAGTAACATTTTAATACATTCTGTTATTTATTTGGATATATTTATGAGAATATTTGCATGCTAACTAATAAAAGAGACTAACCTGCTAATTTTTTTTTACAGTTTAAAATATTAAAATGCTACTTTTTATAACTGAAGATATTTATATGCAAAAACGGTGAAACAATAGGAGATTTAAGTAACCATACAGCCTTTGTTTAACGGATTGTGAGCCAGGCATCTTCGTTGCGGACTTTGTTCCTAAGATTGGTAACAGAGCCATTAAGGATGATGTGAGTTCTAAGAGCGATGTGCCATTATTAAATTAGATTGAGTCCTCAGCAAGGAATATTTAGACTAGAAAGTTTGTGCAGATTCGCTGCCCACCTGTAGCCTTGTGAGCATAAATGTAACTTGTATTCTCTACAGTACAACAGGACTCTCTGGTCTTGTTCGGCATTAGCAGCACTAACACCTAGTAATTATAATCAAGTGCCTAAACTGACAACTATAATCAAGTGCCTAAACTGACAAAGAGTTAGTATATCTGAAATTTTGAGTGCTGATACTTGCAAACTGAAGTTATGTGAAAAACAAATAAATAAAAGAAAACAATGCCCATTTTCTTATTATCTAATCTAGTGGGGGGACGATTCATAACATTAAATATGCATCTAAAACATATCAACCTTTTGGATCATTGAACTTCGTGATTTGTGTACTAATCTAAGAGTTAAGGGGCTGTTTGGTTGTTTTCTTTTGCCCCTGATTCCCTGCCAAAACTGACAGATTGCTGTCAGTTTTGGCAGCTTTCTTGCCAAAACGTCCTTTTTAGAGACGTTTCGGCAAGAAAGTTGTCAAAACTGACAGCAATCTGTCAGTTTTGGCAGGGAATCAGGGGCAAAAGAAAACAACCAAACAGCCCCTAATACGCCTCACATGCATATTTAATATCATATATGACTGGACGCATATGATACTTTCTTCACTTTTCCCTTTGTAAATAAAAAAAAAATCTCCTTAAAAAAGACTCATATGCTTACTTAGAAGGGACAAAGAAGAATAGAACTTTGGGAATCCCTCAAATAAAGAGGGAAAAGGTTGAAGGAAAAATAAATTATAATTTTGTAGTCAATCCCAGTTCTAATAAAAAAAACGACTCAATTATAATCAGCCTATAACACATTATATATATATCTATATATCAATTCAATAATACAGCATTGTCACCAGAGATACATACAATTACTTGACAAAACTCTAGCATCCGCCTAAAAATAGATATTGAATAAAATGCACATGAAAATAGGTAACAAGAAAATTTCCAAAAAAATGGTGGAAACAATCCATCCCTCCCCATAGCCTCATAGGCGATAGAAAACTTTCAACAAATGGTAGGTGATACATGTAGCGATTGAATCGCTGTCATGAAAGCATGACTAATTTAATATAAATTTACATTATTATCAGTAAACAGACTTGCTAACAATACACGTGTCCTGCAACTGATGACTTTTCATTGCTAACTCTTGACAATCAAACATGCTGAAGGATTCTGTACTTGATGGACCTGAGGAGCACTCTCAGTTGTAAGTTGAATCATTTTATAACAGTCATTAAGAAGGCTGAAACCCAAGACAAATTCAAGCTGAATATTCCAAATAAAAGTTTGATAATTCAAAACATAGGCAGAAAAGCAATCCACAGATTGCAAAACTGAGGAGTAACATTATTAAAAGAGAAATAGAAATATAACAAATTACAAACATATCCATAAATGGATAATTCAAATAAAATTTCAACAATTTAAAGATGAACGGCAAAATCAGGCTAAGTAGAAGCCTGCATCACTCAGCAGAAGAGGAATTCCCCACAAACTAAACATTGAATAATTGCTGTAAAGGTAAAGAGAAACCATTCTCAGACTTCTTGACTGCAAGTTCTGAGAAGAGAGCTTAATGAACAAACAAAACACAAGAGATGAGAAAGCTAAAAACTCATTGAGCCAAAAATTACAATCAGGGTATAAATATATCAAAAAAAAACTTATGGCAGTTACCCTCTTCATCTACATCTTAGTTGATTCCCAAATTTCGACATAGCCAATGTTTCGCATCTCCTAGCCTTCAAGTTTTGTGCATCTAGGTATTGGTTAATCTACATTTCTTTTAACTAGTATAGTGCATGTGCGTTGCACGTGGACATATTTGTTTTATGTTCTAATACTTCACAC